GGGATGGGAGTGTCAGAGACAGTGCGATTGGCACAGGACAGAGCGGAGTTTAGGGCTGTTGTACATAGGGTCGCTATGAGTCGCAAGCAACTCGACGGCACATAACAACAACAACAACCACAAAGTAATCTGATTTTGCTGTGATGCTGAACCTTGTGCCACTTGGGAGTCATGGTGGACAGTGTTTGGTGGAGCTCCCAGTTTAAGGCAGGTTTGGAAGCAGGAGTGACATCCACTTCCTAAACTATATGCCTCTGAAAACTATGAACCTGGAGGAACTACAATAGTTATAGAAAAGTTTCAGACCTTTTGTTTGTAGGGTCACTATGAGTTGTGCTCAACTTGATGGCAATCAACAACAATAGCATTGTGATTTTAACAAAAGTTTACAGAAAACTTGGACTTCCATTCTTTCACTATTGCACAATTTCCTCCCTCCCCCCTACCTTATTCCACTTTGCTATGTGCTTCTTATTCTGGACTGATTTCATGCAAATAATGACTAATCATATATTCCTTTTAAACAGTTCTTTCCCTCATCTGTTTTAATGCAGTGTGCATTATTTATCCCCTCTTTTCTTTGTTTCCTCCCAACCGCCATGTCAGTCCTGTTCTATTAACAGTGGCACTCTGCAGTGTTTGCCCTTTTGTGACTGAGATGTTTTATTCAGCATAATGGCCTCCAGGGTCATCCTTTACTAACGGTTATAGTATTTAAGAGTGTAACGTATGATATTTAGTGCTCATTTGTGACCCACCTGGTAATTTGGGTGTGGGTCTAGTAAATTTCTTACAGCTCATAAAAAAGCTATTTATAGATTTTGTCCTTCTCTCTTTATTGCCTGGGAATAGTGAGCACCCGAGGATGTGTCTTGGTGTGTACCCAGCAATCTACATTTTCCAATTTGCTTCCAACTTCATCTCAACCTTCCTTCAGTGATAATTCCAGACTAATTTGTCCAACTGACTGGATCTCTTTATAAATAGATTACTACATAGTAGGAAACTAATACTTCCACAGAGATGAACCATTAACAGATGCATGAATCGTAGTTTCCTTGACACTTCAGTTGTCAAAGCTAATTATTTGTTTAAACTAATATATTCTGCTTTAATTAAAGTCACTAGTGGGTGACACAAATACAAATGTTCTTACTGTTGCCACACAAAGCTCTGTGAATTTCTCACCTTTGATCTAGGCTCAGCCAATTAATATTTCATTTAAAATGTTTCTGGTTTATTTCAAATAAACTAATGAGGGAGGATAGCTAAAACTGTAACCTATTTATTTATGTGTGAAGTCTTTGCCTGGCTCTTTGGTCTTTTTGGCTCTGCCTGTTGCTTTTCTTGAACCCTGTGCCTTCAGGATTGCAGTGCAGTTTCTTGCCTGTTGCTTTTCTTGTGTAAGTTGATGGTAGGTCCCCTTGTGTTGATGCCAGACTCACAGCAACCCTAAGTGATAAAATTAAACTGCCCCGTGGGGTTTTCTAGGCTGTAATCTTTTCGGGACCAGATTGCCACACCATTCTCTAACCAGCCTTTCATTTGGCAAACCTGCTGCTTAACTATTGTACCTCGAGGCCTCCTTTTTATGTGTATAAGCATACATTAAAATAATGAAGTAGGAGTGATTTTATAGGTGTGTCCTCGGTGTTCTAGCCCTCCCACACTGAACAGATTTTTAGTTTGGGAGCAGACTGCCTTACCTTTCCCCCAAGCAAGTGGCTAGTGGAGTCACACTGCCACCTCTGCACGTAACACACTACACCACAGTTATTAGAAAAGTAGAACTTCTTCAAGTATAGACTGAAATACAGGTTGTTGTATGTTGTCAAGTGGGAACCAACTCATAGCTGACCCTCCGAGTGGGTTTTCAGAGGCAGTAAATCGTACAGGAAGAGATTTCCAGTTCTTCCGCAGGGCGGCTGATAATCCAAACCTTGTGACTTTGGGACTGCAGCATAGCTTCTTACCACCTGGCCTCCAGAGCTCCCTTAAACACAGGTAATAAATGTAAATTTGTTATTGCTATCATCCATGAGATGACACCCGTTATCATCCCTTTTAGATACTGGATACAGGGATACAATGCCATCTCAGGAGAGTTCGGAGGTCTCATGTTCTTTCCCGTTCCGTAAAACATCTAAATAAAACACTTGGGGGGGGGGGGCGTCTTTCCTTCCTTGAAAATCAACTAAAAATTTCTACTATTAATGTAATTTTACGATTATAGTATTTTTATTTAGCTTCAGTTTTTTGTTTTGTTGGTTTGTTTTTTGGTGTGGTTTTGGTTTTTTTTTTTTTTTTTTTTTTTTTTTTTACTTTAAAGTATGACTTGAAGGCCAAGGTATACAACTAAAAGATCGAAGCATGTTCTGTCAGCATGAATAGTAATATGCTGTGATGGATAATGTGAATGTTGCACTCTCTGGAGACAGAGGGAGGTGGGAAGGGAGTGTCCCAGGGACATGAGCAGTATCAACACATAGGAATGTTTGTAGAGGAGCTGCCAAAGTCTCTTGGTATCAGGGAGCTTCACTTTTATGGAATACCCCCCCAGTGTGGTGGAATTCACCCAAATGTGTGAAAAATGGTGGATGGCAAAAATGATTATGTGCTCAGCTTCTAGGTTCAAATCTACCTAGAAATTCATTGCTGTAGAGTCGGAACTGACTTCTATCTGACCCTCCACTGTGTTTCTGAAGCTGTAAGTTGCCTGGGAAGAGATTGCCTTTCTTTTCCCCTGAGGAGCTGCGAATGAATTCAAACTTCCAGAGAGGCATAGCCTTGAAGGTTAGCTGCACAACTGTCTATTATAGGAGCCACCAGAGCTCCTTGAGTCTATCTTGAAGCACTGCGGAAGAAAGACCTGATGATCTACTTTGGAAAAACTAGACATTGAAAACAGTATGGAATGCCGTTCTAGTCTTGACACACATGGGACCACCATGGATTGGAATTAACTCAGGGTAACCTCATAGCCTTGGGTGTTGGTTTGATTTTTTAAAACTAGAATTTTTAGTGGAAATCTCTTTTTCACCCCTCAGAGTTAGTCAGGTTGTGACCTTTCTGGGAACAGGGACTGTGTGGGATGCCTCTTTGAATTCTCACAGAAGCACAGACCTGACCCTGAGTAAGTGCACAATGGACATTTGAACGAAGGTGTGGATGAAGTAAAATAGTTATGTTCATTGGCACATTTCAGGTGGTTGAGAAAATGCTTAACCAAAAACTAAGGGAGCTCTTCTCTTTCATTTTCTTCTCATTAGCTAACCATGCAGATAATGGATGGGTTTTTATTTGTATTTGGTAAGAAAGAAATACATATCACAGGGTCCCAGCTAATCAGAGCTCTCTGTCATCCTCTTTCTGAAGGATGAGCAAGCTATTCTGCATTGAGGTCAGTTTAGAAAGGGAAAATAAATTTGGGGAGGATGATGTTGACCTGTCATTGTTTGGAATTTTTTGGTTGGTTTGGTATGATGATGTCAAGGAGAAAAATATCACAGTGTTTTAGCCACTGAAGTAATCTGGGTCTGTTTGAGCAGTAAATACCGGTAGCTTCTTATTTGCTCATGTTTTAAAATTCTGTCGCACTAGGTAGTCCAGTGGTGAGATCATTCGCATTATCTGATTTCAGCCACCTGTTCTGAGGAAGATAATCTTATCACTTCCCTTTACAGATGGGGAGATTGAGCTAGGGCTGAGATATGCCCTGACACCTGCCCAGTTTAAACAGATGAATGAGATGAACTTTCTGTCTCCTCCTGCTAAGCTGGGCATGGGACCACTTAACCCTGAACAAGCACCCAGTGGGTTTTCCTAAGATCTTCGTGGTAGCTCACCATGAATGCAGACCTCCTAAACTAAACCCATTGCTGTTGAGTTGATTCTGTCTCATGTTATAGAATAGAATAGAATAGAATAGAATAGAATAGCACAAGAAGATAAGACTACAATCTGTATGGAAAGATTGCCTCATTGTTCTCTCAAGAAGCAGCTCCTGGGTTCAAACAGCTAACCTTGAGGTTAGCAGTCAAGCACTTTCACCTCTGCTCTGAAAATTTCCTGGTGAAACACTAATGGATTTCCTCCATTGCACTGTCTCTTCCAACCTCTCCAGCCTCTGTAGTTAAGGCTTGCGTAGCCTTCTTCTGCGCTCACATCAAAGGAACTACAGATTGCTCACGTTGTAGATCCTGATATGTACTTGTTCTAACTGACATGCGTGTGATCCACCACAAGATCACATAAATGCTTTCTTGATACTGTTTTTCTTTTCATATAAAATTTTTTTTTCTCTCTTTTTCCTCCTTTTACATTATCTATCACCCCTTCAAGCCTTGTGTTTCCTTCCTAACTTTCCTTAATTTTTTTTTTGTTGATTGCTGAGTTGAACACGACTCATAGCAGCCCTGTGAACAAAAGCCCTGAAGCCTTTCTATAACTATCATCATTTATCAAAGTTCATAGAGTTTCCAGAGGCATGTTGTTAAGGAATTGGATGCTACTCCTGCTTTCAAACCTGTCTTCACCTCGGAGTTCCACCAAACACTATCCACCATGGGTTATCTTTATGCTATTTGCCACCCCAGTGATACTAAGTTCAGCATCACAGCAAGCCCAGGTTACCTCAGTACAGCATATTGACAAAAGAGTGCTGTACCACTTAGAAAACTGTTCCTCCAAAATATAATAACAACCAACTTTAATTACAGAGGCCCTCCCTGAGGCCTTGTTGACTCTAAACAAGAGGTTTTAAATAAAAAACAACCAATATAGTATGTTGTTGTTATGTGCCATTGAGTTGCTTGCGACCTAGATCTATAGATCTCCTATAGATTTGT